ACAACAAACTTGCACATGGTTTGATTCTGTTATGGGTATTTGGTTTGATTCTATTAAAGGCTGGGTCTTTTGGATTCATTCTGTTATAGGTATTTAAATATTTGTGGCAATGACATTATACTTTTGTCCACCACATTCGTAGAATGTGGCGTATTTAAATTGTGGTTTGTGCAGTTGATTTTGTGGCCTTAATTCTTTAATAATGGCCATTGTCTTCACTAAATTTTCCGATTTGTTTGCACTAACACCTACCAGTTTCCAAATTTGTAGCAATAGAATAAACACCCATTGATTTGAGGCTATTAAAGGTTGAGTGTTTTGGCTTAATTCTCTCATACCTATTTAATTATAAATTATCACAATTGTTCTAAGTTTGTTATCAATTGTTATCTGGAGGCTTTGACTTTATAGGAGTGGCGAGCGTTGGTCTTCTTCTTAAGATTGAACTCCAGCTTTTTCTATGTTTCGGTCTCTCTCTCTCACTGATCTGTAAGTAAATTTTGCTTCATCTTTCCATTCAATTTTTGTTGCTCTTCTTTTTCATTTTTTTTTTGTTACTAATATCTTGGATCTTATTTTATTAAACTATAAGACCTGTTTTAATTTGCTGCCCTAAAAGTCCAAATTCCTAATTTTTCCTCATAGTGGATCTGTGTTATTGATTTGCAAATGTTATCCAAATACTGAAATTGATTTGATTGTGTTATTATTTTGATGAAACCAGGTGAAACAATTTAGTTATTAAAATACTATATGATTGCTTTTGGTAAGGTTTTCTGTTTGATTATTAAAAATTAGTTGGTAAACCCTCAAAATCAGTATTTGGATATGCTGGTTCTTTTGTTACAGGGTTTAGGATAGCTCTGTTTTGGTAAGCAGGATATGCTGCTATTTGGGTAGTTATGTTTAAAGACATGTTCGTTCTTTTACTACAGGGTTTTAATTCAAATTCGTTCTTATACTGGTTTATGGGACTGGGGATTTGAATTTGATAATTTTTGTTTTGGTAGGGGAAAGAAAATTTGGGAGTGTGATTCTAGGAACTGATTGCAATGTTTTAGCATAGTTGACTTGAAGAAGATTGGTTTAGGAAATATGTGGGATTTGAAAATCTGACTTCTAAATTGGAATTCTGTTTGTGGACATTAGAGATGACGAGAAAGAATTCAGAAAAGTTAAAATTCATAGGTTTTTTTGTTTGTGGGTTTGATTTACCAAGCGGATTTTTGTTGATTTTTGCATTGAATGGAGACTTATTGAAAACTAAAAAAGTTTGTATATCCTAATTTCAGAATGCAGAGTTTGGTTATATTGTTTTTTTTCCTTTTCATGGGCTAATAATTTGGCCATGCTTCTACTCTTTGCAGCTGCTAGGGACTGGAATGGATACGCAAGATACATCTCCTTCAGTGTTGCTATTCTTTGACAAGCAAAGATTTATATTTAATGTTGGAGAGGTAAGGAACTCAATTACATACATTTTCCCTGTGGTTTCTTTCCATACAGATTTTGCTCAAGCTAATTTTTTGGTTTAATGAAAAGATTGTGCATGCATAAAATACTCAAGCTAATTTCTTCCCCGATTTTTCTGTTTTTTCTTTTTCTTCTTTTTAAAAAAATCATGTTTTCTTTTGATATTTTGCAGGTGGTCTTTCTTTGCTTTGGATAGAGCAGTTTGGTTGGTGTTTTCAGTTCTGTTAAGCAAGGGGTGAGTTTCTAGGCTGAAATTTCAATTAATTGTTTTAAGTTTTGTGAATAGAGCATAGGAATTAGCTAATGGCATCAATTGACAATTGGTTGGTGTTAATTTGTTGTTGTAATGATAGGTTTAGATGATTACAATATTTGAACATGTTGGTAAATCCTTTGAGTGTTTTGGCAATTGGGTAGTTGAGATGTTCCCTGCCTATTTTCATCGCTTTATACACATTTCACGCAATTTTAAAACCCGCAGCATCGCGCGGGCACCTTTTGCTAGTAGTATACAAAACAAAATGTCAATGCTTTGGTCAGATTGCACACGTTCTAAATCTGATTGGTTTTGACAAAAAACAAAACAAATAAAATAAAATAAAAATCTGGTTGATATCCTTTTCCAGCGGTACTTAATAATTAACAACCACAATTAAAAAAGGTGAGATCGTTCCACATTTTCTATTTTCTTTATTTTCAAAGGATAAGTTGGAATCTCGAGGATATATAAATCTTTATTTTCAAGGGGCTCTGCCAAGTGTTTGATTAGTCCAAAATATAGTACATTGCCATAATATAACTTAATAACAGTGGAGTTAAGAATTCGAATTAAACCAATTATTTCTCTTACATTTTAGTAAGCGCTGGGGATAGGTTTGAAGCAGAGTACTTGGTTTTGCCTCTCTTCCCTATTTTCTGGACCATGATTTTAGGGTTTAGCAAGAAGGCAAACATGACTTGGAAGGAAGGCCATTGAAGGTCCATGAGGAAACTACAGGAGAGTTGGATTATAGTGGCTTCCTAGTGGAATTGCATGCATTTTTCGTTTTTAATTTTTTTTTAGTACAACCGATTCGAGGAGGGTGGTTAATATAAATAGTCATTGAGTGCCTAGTAATTTCGAACCTCTACCCCACATAGGTGGAGGTGGAAGAACTCAATGAGCTATAATCCCTAAAGGATTTAGTTTCCTATTTATTTGTATTTATTTCCTAGATTTGCTATATATATTCCTTGTCTCTCAAGGACTCGATTCTTACCTAGAATAGGAAATCCTTTGTGTAGATACCAAGTAAAGCTTTGTACATAATTTATCATATGATTGTTCAATGAAAAGCATTGAGAATATTCAAAACCTTTCATGGTATTAGAGCCTGAGACTCATTGTCCTCGATCCTCTATTTTTTTCTTGTTCCTTCTCTTTTTTTTTTTCCCGACTCCCATAGCTTCTTCTTCTCCGTCCTTGACCTCACGAGTATCAATCACGTTATCTCTGTTCATCTCCAGCGTGATAACTATCCAACATGGCTAGCATAGATTCTTATTCTTCACAACCATCGCTTGCTCTGCTTTGTTGATGGTAGCAACCTGTCTCCTCCTCCGACCATTCTCTATCCCAAGGCTAAGAACGATGATTCTTCTTCTCCGTCTCTCATTCCCAAACCTGAATATGATGACTGGGTCCAGGAAGATCAGCTTGTTCTAACTCTCATAAATGGTTCTCTTCACCATAAGGTCCTCACCACCGTTGCTACCAAAACCACCAGTCGTGACACTTGGGTGGTGCTTGAGACTCGTTTCGCTTCTCCGAATCAAAATAGTCTTCTTCAACTATGCAGTGATTTGCTTTGCACGACCTGTGGTGATTCTTTCATCATTTATTTTCTTGATCGCATTAACTCTATTGTCGATAACTTGGCTTTTGTTGGTGCTCCCGTTTCTGATTATGATCTCCTTGATGTGGTTATGAACAATGTTGGTCCCCTTTATGAAAACATTGTTGCTGCTGCTCAAGCTCGTGAGACACCCATAAGTATGTCTTCTTTTGAAGCTTTCCTTCTCTCTGTGGAATGTCGACTTCAAGCTTCTTCTTCTTCTATTATTTCTTATGGTGCGACAGCCCTTATGGCTTCCCGTGGCGGTCGTGGTTATCACGATCACAGTGGATTTGCCAGTCACGGTGGTTCTTTCTCGCCCTCGCGCTCTGGCTTTTCCTTAGGTTGTAGTTTTTCTGGCACACCTAACAGCGCTCCTCGCTCAGCTCCACATCAGCAGCGCCTTGGCAGTGCTTTTGGGCCTGGTGTTATTGGCCCGCCGCCTTCTTGCTCTACTCCTTCCTCTTTTGGGCCTCCTTCTACCTGTGGGCCTATTCAATGTTTCAATTGTCATGGTTTTGGCCACATCGCTGTTGTTTGTCCCTCCAAGGCTTCTTTTGTGCCTTCACCTCCATCTCATCTTCAAGGCATGATTGCTCAACATCCATCGCATAATGGCCATCAACAATGGGTTACTGATACAGGTGCTAAAACTCATATTACTAACGAATTGAGACACTTATCCCTTGCTAGAGAGTATCATGGTTTTGACAATGTTGGAGGTGTGCTTGGTGGAACAGGTTTGCCTATTAAAAATATTGGTCACTCTCCTTTCTCTCACCTTAATTCTTCTTTCCACCTTAGTGATGTTCTTCACTGTCCTGATGCCTTTCTTCCTCTTTTATCTATTCATAAATTTGCTACTAACAACCATTGTTTCTTCACTTTTTTTTATTGATTGTTATTTTATCAAGGATTTGGCGATGGGAAAGAAGCTTTTCTAGGGCAAGAGTAGCAATGGCCTACATCCATTTTCTTTTACAACAAATGAGTCTTTTCAAGTTTTGACTAATTGTAA